AGATGAGCCTTGACAACTTAACATGACCCTGCCTCAAAACAAAAATGTAAAAAGGTCTGGGGTGTAGCTCAATGGCAGACCACTTGCCTAGGAGGCGGCCCTGGATTCAATTCCTTGTAGAAAACAAACAAACAAAAAAGTAAATGGATAAATGGCAATGTGTTTCTTATAAAAAGATGTACATGATGCCATTATAGTAATTAATTATTTAATATTAATAAAAACCATGAGTAGCAAACTTAACATTTACGGTGTTTTCTATACAGAAGGCACTGTCCCAAATTTATTACATATTTATATTAGTTATCTACTGCTACATGAAAATCACTCCCAAAACTTAGTGGCTTAAAACAACAAATATTTATTATCTCACATAGTTTCTGTAGGTCAGCCCATTCAGGGTCTCTCAAGAAGATATGATTAAAGTGTTGCCTAGGGCTATAGTCATCCAAAGACTTGATTAGGGCTGGAAGATCTGCTTCCTGGATGGGTTGCTCAGATAGTTATGATTGTTGACAGGACACCCTCGTTCATCCTCATTTGTGTCTCTCAGTTGGCTGCTTCATTGTCTTCACCACATAGAGGCTGACCTGCTACAGAAAAGAGATTGAAAGAAAGAACCAGATACGAGTCTCAATGCCCTTTATGACCTAATCTTGGAAGTCACAGAACAAGACATCTACAATATTCTTTTGGCTATTAAGTTCAGCCCCATGAAAAGAGAGTCTCCACCCACTTAAAGGAGCTCCCTAAAACTTTTGGACATTTTAAAATAGCCTCATGGGGCTGGGGATGTGGCTCAAGCGGTAGCGTGCTCACCTGGCATGCGTGCAGCCCGGGTTCGATCCTCAGCACCACATACCAACAAAGATGTTGTGTCCGCCGAGAACTAAAAATAAATAAATAAATATTAAAAATTCTCTTTCTCTCTCTCTCTCTCTCAAAATAAAATAAAATAGCCTCATATATTAACACATAAAATCTTTTCTTGGGGGGTGGGCACCGGCGATTGATCCCAGGCATGCCTTACCACTGAGCTACATCTCTGCCCATATTTTTATTTTGAGACAGGGTCTAGATAAGTTGCTGAGGGTCTCACTAAATTGTAGAGGCTGGCCTCAAACTTGTGATCCTTCTGCCTGAGGCTCTAACTCATTAAATCCATGTTTGTGTGTGTGTGTGTTGCTGGGGATTGAACCTAGGGCCTTGTGCATGCAAGGTAAGCACTCTACCAACTGAGCTATATCTTCAGCCCAAAAGCATTAAATTTGATGATAATCCTATCCTGTTACAGATAAGGAAACTGAGGCACACAGAAGCTAACAGTCACACAGAAGGGACTGAACCAAGATTTAAGCCCTGGCAATATACCTGTGACCACTTCTTAGTCACATCCACCAGTGGGGAAGAAACCAGTTGAAGGAAAATATTTAAAAGAAGGAACATTGACAAGACTTGATAACTGGTTGGATATAGAAAATGACTGCTTAGGATGTCACTGAAGCATAAAATTCATATTTCTATAATACTGAGGGACATTTATCCAAAAGGCAAGATGGCACAGGGTCAGAATGTAAGGTTTAGGGAAAGGGTCAGGGCCATCTATGATCA